ACAGCTCGGAGCGGCTGCTGCGGGCTGCTCTCCCCCTGTGGGGCACGTAGGCTACATGAAGCACCTGGTGCAGGTGGCCAGGAGCTTGGGGCGCAACTTCGAGCAGGCGGGCAGCACCGCGTTCGAAGGCAAGAAGCTCGTCTCGCTGAAAGAGGTGACCCAGGTGCCCACTGTGCAAGGGCAGGCCTTCCTGCGGGCGATCGAAAGAGCGTTGGCGTCACACAGGGGCCTCCACGGCGACGGCGACTACCAGCAGGACGAGTGCGGCTGCTGCTTCGCCCTGCGGTACTCCTCCGCCCTCGTTGCGGAGAAGGCCAAGGAGAAGGACAGGAAGGAGGCAGCGGTCCAGGAGTACGACGCCAGGCCTGCGACTCTGTGCCAGCTCCGCGGCGAGGAGAGCGGGACCCTGGCCCGCCGCCACCACAGGTGCCCTGCCTGGGGGGGCTGGAGGCAAGGTCGCAGCCCCGCCGACTTGCTGCGAGCTGCCGAGTTGGTGGCAGAGTTCGACGGCGAGGTCGACTTCCTGCACGCCGCCGCGGCGGAGCCCGCCCCTGGGACAGGTGGATTCAGCCCACCGAAGTCGCAGTCCCAGGGGCGCGGCGAGTTCGGGAAGTTGCACGACGCGGAGGTGCGCGGGCCTGTCGTGTCAGCGGCTGGCAACTTGCAGATGCCAGTCGCGGAGGCTGACGTTGGCGACGGCGAGGCGCAGGCCGCGGCGGCTGACGGCGGCCCCCTCCTCGCCACGGCGGCGGCCCTGGCAGCAGTGGCGGCAGCGGCCGCTTCCTGCTCGCGGCCGTCGCCCGCGAGGCGCCGCCCCGCCTCGGCCGATAGGCCCGCGGAGGTGCTGCGCCGAGCCCCCCAGCGCAGGGTGCAGGAGCAGTCGAGGCGCCGCCAGGCCTCGGCGCCCGAGCCCAGCCCGCGGCGGGCGGCGGCAGCGGCGGCTTGCAGCGGCCCTGCCCCTGAGGTGGCGGCGGATGTGGCCCGTCCAGCGGGATTGAGGGTCTACGGCCACCTCATACGGGGGTCGCGCGTCGAGGGCAACGGCTCCGAGCCCCCCCTGGTATGCTCAGCGTGCTGGGGGTACCGCCGCCTCCCCAGGTGCGCGCATCGCGGCCTGGCCATGCCGCGTGGGGCCAGCGCGGCGGCTGGGCAGCCCACGTCCCTGAGGGGCTCCCGAGCCCAGGCGCGGACGGACTTCGCACGGGGCACCCTGCCTGCGTCCAAGGATCCGTTCGCGCCGCTGGCCCCGCCGATGGAGAGCACGCGCCTGTGCTGGGCGACGGCGCCCCAGGCCAGGCTGGGCCACGGGGCGGAGGAGCAGGCGCTCGCGGCGGCGCCCGTGCCATCGCAGCGGCAGCCTGCGGCCGCCCCGCCCCCGCCACCTGCGGCTGGCGATGGGGGCCAGGCGGCAGCGCCGCCGTGCGCCGCGGCGCCGCGGCGCCTGGTCGCGGCGGCCCCGCGGGCGGAGGCCGAAGAGCCGCGGCAGGTCCGACCTGGGCTCGAGGGCGCCCTCTGCGCCCGCGGCTTCGCAGTTGCTGCGGCGGCCCGCGGGCGCGAGTGAGCCGCGGGGTCGGCGGCCGCCCGCGCACGCCGCGCGGCGGGGCTCGCCGCGCGCTGAATGGAGAATTTATGCATGAAACCGCCGAGCCCGCTCGGCGCCCACATAGATAAAAAATGTCATCACTGTACGTACAAAACGAAACGTCGTAAACATATTATGTTCACAGACAGTCATGTTTCTAGTTTGCTGCGGGATCGCCCACAACGATGTTAAAGCACCATTGCCCGCAGTTGTTGTATCACGGATGTGTTCGCCCGCGCTCTTGAGGTAGTCGCCCAAGGAGCAATCGCTTACCTCTCGCGCTGTCCCACACAATCGCCTTGCCCAGCCAATCCAGCGTGCCCGACTCAGTCCTTCTCGTGCGGGGTGATCCCGCCGTGTCCAACGTGCCCACCGTGTACGGTGCCCACCTTTCACGTGCTCCAATCCACGTCCCACTCTGCTTATCCTTTTTCTACCCATGCTCTGCATGCTCTACGATACCCCCGACGAATCGCACTTGTCCTTTACAGCGTTGTTCCGGCGAGGCGCATGATTCGCCGCCGCCGCTCTCATCGGAAATTCGTTCGCAGGAGACAAGGCGAATGGTGGTCTCGCCGCCTCGCCGCGCAGACACGTTCGGAAGTTCCGCCCCCGACCCTTGACGGCCCGCATTTTTTTCCTTCGCCAAGTCGTCGGACGCGGGACCGCGCGCGAGTGCGCTCCGTTCGCTGGGTGGGGACGCGTTCCTGTCACGAGATCAGGTGTTACTCAGGAGGGGAGAAAGCACTCAGACGCAATGAAGCGTCGACTCCCAAGAAAAAATATGGGAAGACGGAAACCCAGAAAATATGAGAAAATATGGAGAATCGTTTCATCTGTGTGTATATTTCTTTGTGTGTCTGTGGGGCCCCTTCAGGTGTTACCACTGCCGGTTCTTCTGGTAGTGTGGGGGGGAGGGGGGGGGACCGGGGCAGGGCCCACTGGCTCGTTCGACCTGGACACCTGGAGTAAGCGCCTCCTCTTGCTGCACGTCGGGTCTGCTGTACTCTCCTCCTCCTCCTCCTCCTCCTCCTCCTCCTCCTCCTCCTCCTCCTCCTCCTCCTCCTCCTCCTCTCTCCTCCCCCTGCTCCTCCTCCTCCTCCTCCTCCTCCTCCTCCTCCTCCTCCTCCTCCTCCTCCTCCTCCTCCTCCTCCCCTCCTCCTCCTCCTCCTCCTCCTCCTCCTCCTGTACTCTGTTTACTCCAGATTTCGTAATAAAAGGGAGGGGGGTCTCATCTCGGGGGGGGGGGTCTGGGGACGATGTTTTGGAGGGTTCTCCCACGGGGGGGGGGGTCTGAAATGGCTTGGCTGATCTGATGATACTCTGCAGTTTGGGCTCCACGGTAGCACGCAGGCCCACACAGGAGCACATGGGATATGCTCTCCGCATGGTGCCAGAGGCGTGGTCTTGGGCATAGCCGCAGGCGTGTGCCATCGGAATCCGCACGCGTGGCGGAAGCCATCGTCGTAGCCACAGGCGTAGCAATAGGCATACCAATGGGATGCCACAGGCGTCGCCGCAGCAAGCCACTGGCGTAGCCAAGGTCTTGCTAGCGCAGAGTGGCTGGCGGAAGCGGGAGCCGAGGACCTTCTCTCTACAAGCTACACTCATCATTCCAAGAGCGAGCCTAAAGGCTAGCCAGCGTGAAAACACACAGATTGATGTTTGGGCGTCTTCTTCAAAGCTTCCGAATAAGCTAGCCTGCACGTCCCAGAACTCCTGCATGTCTCCAGGAAGTCGCGACCTCTCCTTACTACCCCTCATCCCCCTCCGCCTTGTCATCCTTTTCTTCCGCTCCTGTCCTCATACTCCTCGGGTGGGGGTTCATGGTATGTTATGTGATTGATGGTTTCCTGGAGTTGCATGTGGCTTCCTATCGAGGGCGGCCACTGCGTGGTGCATGATATGAGAGATTGTTGCTGCAAATACGGCATTGCACGCTGTATCATTCTTCATAGTTGGGTTTTGTCGTGCTTAGTTGCCGTTCTCGTGATATTGGTGCTCGACATGGTCTTCTTCCATGTCATCATTAATTGTGGGCATCTGGCCGTCGATGACAAAAGATGCATTTACCATACTCCTCCATGTGCTCCTCATCATCCTCATCGGCATCATCCCGCCTCCCCCCCCCTCCTCCTCCTCCTCCTCTTCCTCCTCCTCGTCATCAGCATCATTATCAGCAGCATCAGCAGCAGCAGCAGCATAATATTCCCCCCTCCTCACAGCAAGGAGAGAGCGAGAGGAGAAGGAGGAGGAGGTGGAAGAGTAGGAGGAGAAGAAGGAAGAGGAGCAGGAGGACGACGAGGAGGACGTGGATGAGGAAGACGACGAGGAGGATGGCGAAGGGGAGAAGGAGGAAGAGGAGGAGAAAGAAGGAGGACGAGGAAGAGGAGGAGGAGGAGAGGGAGGAGCAGGAGGATGAGGAGGTGGACGGCGAAGGGGAGGAGAAGGGTGAGCAGCAGAGTGAAGAGGGGGAGGAAGGCAAGCTAGGTGCGCTCGCGTCATATTTGACGTCCCACCCATCCCTCCCATCCCTTACCATGGCGAAGATCTCCTCTCTATTCGCACAGTCGGATGTTGTAGCATTGCATGGAAATGAGGCCAGCGTTCCAGCGGGAGCACGATTCGGAACGAGCGGAAGCGCGGAAATGAGGCCAGCGTTCCAGCGGGAGCACGATTCGGAATGAGTGGAAGCGCGAAAATGAGGCCAGCGCCTCAGCGGGAGTAACATTTTGAAAAATAACCCAAGCGAAACACATGTCCCGGGAACCTTGTGCGTAAAAGGCAGTACGCGGATGGGGGCCGGACATCTTCATGACGTCACCAGAGGGAAGAGGACGGTAGGATTTATATTGTGTATGGAGGGGGAGGGGGAGGAGGCCTCCCCCCCGACGAGGCCAAACCCAAGGAGGAGTCGATCTGGACCATCGCTGACAAGGACAAGGCCCCCCGCTGGAAGCGGCGCCCGACGCCCAGCCTTGGGTCGATAGGTGCCAACGACGACGACGACCACGACGATGACGACGACGACGACGACGCCGACGACGACGACGACGACGACGACGACGACGGCGGCGGCGGCGGCGACGACGGCGGCGGCGGCGGCGGTGGCGACGAGGACGACGACGAGGACGAGGACGGACGCGAAGTGTGAGGGAGAGGGGGTGATGAGGAGGTGGCGATGGGTGAGCGGAGGGGGAGGGAGATGAGGAGAAACAAAAAGGAGAGGAGAGAGGAGGAAAAGGAGGAGGAGGAACCGCAGCAGCAGCAGCAGCAGTAGGAAGAGCAGAAGAAGAAAAAGAAGAAGAAGAAGAAGAAGAAGAATATGAACAAGAAGGAGGACGACCACGAGGAGGAGGAGGAGGAGGAGAAGGACACGAATGAGGGGAGGAGGAGGAGGAGGAGGAGGAGGAGGAGG